TATTCTTCTGCTCCTTTTACAGATGAGGAAACAGGCTTGTGGAGCTCATGTGACTTGCCCAAAGTCATGTGGCTGTTGGGTGACCGAGAACAGACTTGGTTGGGACTGTTTCCGTTCCAAGTCTATGTTCTCCGCACCCACCCCATATCACCACCTCATAATTTTGATTCCTCCTTGTTCATTTTCAGGAATTAACTGCTGTCAAAGGCTCTATCTATCTGATTTCTTCCACGGCCTTGCCCGTCTGAGAGTGGCCAAGACTAGGTAGTGGAGAGCCATGGACCAGTATGGCTTTGGGGACACGGGTACCCTTCCTTCAGAACCGCACCTTCCCTTGTTCTCAGAGAGCCAAGGGCTCAATTGCAGTGATGCCCTCAATCGGGATCCAGGTCCCAGCACCCGTGACCTGCTCTATACCCCGCTGGGTGGCTTGGACCTGGACCCCACGCTCTTGGCGCCTGATGTGCGCAGAAAGGTGTTGGAGGACAGCTTAGACGCCCTGTCCCTGTACTCAGGGAGGGACAGTGACTCCGGGAAGCTGCTGGAGGAATATATGGATCTGAGGTCTCAGACTTCTGTACAAGGTGAGGCTGTCCCCTGGGTGGAAGGGCCCGGGATGTTTGCCAGTCCCTGCAGCCAGTTCAGAAAATTCTCCTCTCCTACAAGTGATGTAGGGAAAAGCTACTTTTGTCCCTCCCTATTTCAGAATCATTCCCAAAATTGTTCCTAGCAAAAGAAACAGGACTGACCCTAGGAATGATGTTGACTCAAGCCATAGCTGCTTGGAGATATCCTAGCCTTCTGCCTGGTGCGTGTACAGAGCCCGGTGAGAGAGTTTCCTATCCTCATCTCAATGGCTCTTCATCTTCCCAGACTGAACTAGGGTCCTGTTCATTCTGCTGTTGGGCTTTTTGGCATTCCTAGGCCTCTGCTGTCTTTGCTTGTAGAGAGGTAACAGTGGTAAGAAGCAAAAGGAGAAACAATGCTAGAAGCTCTTCATAGGCCATAAAGCCCTGGACAGATATTAGGTATTAAGTTTTCTTAAGAGATGGGGGTCTTCCTATGTTGCCCAGAACTCCTGGGCTCTAGTAACCCTCCTGCCTCAGCCTTCTGAGTAGCTGGGACTTAAAGACGTGCACCACTATACCCAACTAGTTACCAGTACTATGGTTTTTCATTTTAAATAGGCCCTTGATTCAGTTGTAAACCTTTCACTTCAGCAGGGGAGGAACAAAGGGAGAATTACTGAACTAATTAAACCCCTTATTAGTTAAATCTTTTGGTTTGCTTTCTGGCTTCCCATAGAAGAGAAATTCCTTTTTTTTAAAAATCCTCTTCTTCAGTCCCTAACTTTGTTGCTTAAATGCATAGACAGGACTCAACCAGAGAGCTTTTAGATAGCTATAATCATGTGGAAAGTCATATCTGTAATTCTTTGCAAAGCAGGTGTTATTTTTTGTTTTTGTGTGTGTTGGGGATTGAATCTAGGGCCTTTGTACCGAGATCCCTTCTTTTTTTTTTTGGTACCAGGGATCTAACTTGGGTCCTTGCGCTTGCAGCAGGCAGCGAAACCACTGAGCTAAATCCCCAGCCCCCGAGGTCCCTTCTTTTTGAGACAGGCTCTCACTAAGTCACTAAATTTTGGGGGCCAGGCTCAAACTTGTGGTCTTTCTGCCTCAGCCTCCCAGAGTATTGGCATCACAGGCCCGTGCCACCACGTCCACCGGGATCAGGTGTTAATCCTAACTGGGATAAGTAGCTCACACCTGTAATCCCAGTACCGAGGAGGCTGAGGCAGGAGGATCACTTTGAGTTCAAGGCCAGCTTGAACTACATAGCAAGACCCTGTCTCAAAAAACCAAAACTAAAATTAATTTTTAAAAAAATTCCAAAGATAGCCAGGCGTGGTGGCACACGCCTGTGATCCCTGCACTCAGGAGGCTGAGGCAGGAGGATTGCTGCAAGTTAGAGGCCAGCCTGGGCTACATAGTGAGTTCATTGCCAGCCTAAACTACAAAGCGAGACCCTGTCCCCCCAAAAAAAAAAAAATTTTCCAAAGAACCTGCTGAAATGAAAAGCCCCTGAGGGCCCTCTTCACAGAAGATGGAGTAGACAGATGTTGGCCTTGTTACTGTTCTGGCCTGATGGCAGAGGATGAGATTAGGGTACACCTAGGAGACACCTGCTGAAGTGCAGGCACTGGCCCAGTGCCGGGCCCTAAACGAGGTCCCCAGCCTGGTCTCAGAGATGGCCTGGAATTCGGTGGTGGGGATCTGCATCTTTGTCACTTTCACCAGATGGTCATAGGGCTCTGCAGAAGGTGTCCGTGTAGTTCAGCCTTTCCTAACTTGTTTTACACTGGATTTTCTTTTTTCTTTTCTTTTCTTTTTTTTTTTACCTTTTAGGAACAGGACCTTGCGCTTTCGAGTAAATTTCAACTCTTTATACTTCTCTTAAATTCAAGTCTGTGGAAGGGCATAGGTTTACTGCTTTTTTGGTACCGGGGATCGAACTCGGAACTTGGTGCTTGCAAGGCAGGCAGCGGAACCACTGAGCTAAGTCCCTGGCCCAGGTTTATTTTTTGAGACAGGGTCTCTCTCTGTTGCCCAGGCTGGCCTTGAACTCCGAAGCTCAAGTGATCCTTCTGCCTCCTGAGTAGCTGGGAGTACAGGCTTGAACCACCATACCCAGCTTTTTGTTCATTCTTTTTGTTTTGATTTGTTTTTTGAGACAGAGTCTCATTCTATAGTTCAGGCTGGCCCTGAACTCACTATATAGCCCAGGCTGGCCTTGAACTCATGGCAATCCTCCTACTTCAGCCTCTGGAGTACTAGAATTATTGCCATGCAGTACCACACCCAGCTAATTTTTTAAATTAGTAATATATAGTTCTTTTAAAAATTAGAAGATAAAGCAATAAGCAAGAAAAATCTCCACCCTGGCTCCCCCACACATAAATCTTTAAATACGTGTGAAGTTGCTCAGAAATAATCACTTTTATAGAATAAGTATGAAGCATGTAGCTCTAGAGTACTTGCCTAGCATGGGCAAGGCCCTGAGTTTCATCCCTAGCACCGCACACATAAATAAATACATAAACTAATAATTCTGTTTGGAATTTTGAAAACAGTGTATTTGCTTTCATACACGGAGGTAAACCATACATTTGTCATTGTAACCACTGTTCTGTCGTATTGTGAGACCACATTCACGTTAGGCCGAGAGGATGTTTCTGTGAACAATTTTTTACATACTGAATTTTCTTTGGAACACTATTTTTCTGAGTGGGTTTGCCCAAACAGACTATAGAAACGGTTCCAGGGCTTTAGAACATTGCTTTCTAGGTGTTACAACACTTTCCGGGCCAGTGATTCTTTGTGCCTGTTTTTCAGTGTCCTTGCCAACATTTTACAGCATTTTGTTTTCTAGTTTAACAGTTAATTTAAGGAGCTTTTAAAGTAACCCAGCAAGGCCGAAGGCTGTCCCCAGAGGGAGCCCAGGTTTTCTTTGAGCACAGGTTTGGAATTACTAAGCTCCTTGCTGTCAGTGTTTTGAGATCTTGTAGCTCAGCCTCCTCTCTGTCCCTCCCCAGGCCCTAACCCATGGGATTCTTGAATACCATCTCTGCAATTTGGTAGATAAGTGGTTGTTTCTAAACAGTCTGATCCATCTAGCAGGGCGACCTACTGGACAGAAAAATCTTCCATTTTTGCTGGGTGTGGTGGTGCACACCTGCCATCCCAGCACTCAGGAGGCTGAGGCAGGAGGATCACTGTGAGTTCAAGGCTGGCCCGAGCTACATAACTACAAGAAAAATAATGAATCTTCCATTTTTTATTCCTCTAACACACATTCTTTGAGTGCCTGCTAGTGCGAGATGGGAATCCCAGGATCTGGGAGCGTGGGAGAGAGCCAGGCAGAGAGAGTGTATCCATGGTCCGTTGTTTCTAGGGGTCAGAATCACCCTCCCTTTAATCTTCATTCGCCGAGCCTAGCTGTGTCCCTCCAACCAGGGCAGACGCCATCTGCTCCCCTCCACACTGCCCTTCCCATACTCGGATGCCTCCCCTCCCCCACCCTCACCTGAGTCCTCCCAGTCCCTTCAGCCATTCCTCAGGTGACACGATTCATAAATACTTTCTGTCATTTTATCCAAGACAGAAAACATGGCAAATTCGTACGTGTACAAAGAGGAAAATAAAACTGTTCCATCCTTCCATCGGCCCATTCTGTTTTCTACTCAAATTTATTTATTTCTTTGTTTATGTATCTATTTTGAGAGAGGGTCTCACTATGTATTCCAGGCTGGCCTTGAACTCCCTATGTAGCCCAGGCTTGCCTCTAACTCGCAGTGATCCTCCTGCCTCAGCCTCTTGAGTGCTGGGATCCTAGGCACGAGCCACCACACTCAGCTTATTTTTCTTTTTTAAGAGCTGGGGTCGTTCTCCTTTGCAGTAGGCTGCCTTTTCCCACCCTTTGTGTCATCAGGTATTTCCCTACAGTTTTACTTGAAAGGCTGTGTCATAGACTACTTGAACTATAATGCAGTCACCTGTGTATCCTGCTGTTGGATATTAGGTTGGTCTGATGTTTACCAGGAAAAGCGATGTACAGTCAGCTCGCTTGTGGCCAGGGCTTTGTAGCAAGCTGCATTTAAAGTTAGGAACTGAGAAGTAGAGCTGGCTGGTGAGTCCAAGGGCTTATGGAGTCCCAGGTTCAATTCTTCCACTTTGCCCTCCATGCATACCAGGCAGCAGTGCAGTGCTGCAGCCCTGCCCAAAGTGGTCCCACTGTCCTAGAAGTGCTCCAACCTGCTACCAAGTCTGTCCCCCCGTTGAATGGCACCAAAACCAGGCACAATCCCACAGGGCTACTCTCCTCTTCTGCCTTGCAGAGCTGCTGGAGTTGGAGGAGTCTGAGAGCTGTGGAGGCCTCTGTGGCCGGGCTCTCTGACATCCCCAGCTGTGGGTGACCTGTGGTTTCTCCCTCCCTCTGTTCAGACCAGGGCCCAGGTGCACTCAAGGTTCCCAGAGAGGCTGAGGAAGGAGGCAGGGCCACCTTGGGCAGCGCAAGGAAAGGGAAGCGGCAGCACAGCTCGCCCCAGAAAGCGCTCCTGGACTGCAGCCTGTGCGGGAAGGTGTTCAGCAGTGCCAGCTCACTCAGCAAGCACTACCTGACACACAGCCAGGAGAGGAAGCACATCTGCAAGATCTGCAGCAAGGCCTTCAAGCGGCAGGATCACCTGTATGTGGGTTGCTCCTGTCCCTTTCCTGTCCTCCCAGGCCACCCCACTCTGTCCTCTGTTGGGTTTTCAGCCTCCTTGTCCCCCAGATGTGGATCACTGGGCTCAGGTGGTCATGGACTCTGTTCTCCTCACCTGGCCAGGGTCCTGGTCCAGTTTGATTCACACCATTGAGGAAATAAATCATTGCCTTGATCTACAGTTTAGAAATGCATGATGGCTCCTGAGGCAGCTAATGATGTTGGCAGGAGCTTGGCTGACTTTGTAGAGAAGTGCCCCGAGTCCCTGGTGGGTATCTGAGGATGAGCGATCTGCTCACGACAGGGTGACACGGGCACAGGTGATGCTGAGGTGCCAGTTTCTAGAACATGGCAACGGAGCCACATCTCCTCCTCCTCCTCCTCTTTTCCTTCTTCTTCTTCCTCTTCTTCCTCTTCTTTCCTTCCTTCCTTTCTTTCTTCTTCCTCTTCCTCCTCTCCCCCTCATCTTCCTCTTCCTCCTCTTCCCTGCCCCTCTTCCTGTTTGTTCTTTTAAACTTTCGATTTTAAAAAAGGAACTCCAAGGGCCAGGGATTTAGCTCAGTGGTTTCGCTGCCTGCCCCACAAGCACAAGGACCTGAGTTCGATCCCCAGTCCCCCCCCCAAAAAAAATTTCCCTCCAAAAGAAACTCCCACTTACGAGCTAGGAGCAAAATTCCTTCTTGATGTCTTGGAACTGAAGAGTTCCTCATGCAGGTGAGGGAAGGTGAGGAAGGTGAGGGCTGACTGGTTTTAGCCCAGAGGTTTGCACGCGCTTGCATTTTGAGAAATCCACCGCTTCCCAGCTCTGCCCCAGGGAGAGGAAGCCTTCCCTCTGCTCCTGTCAGAAGCTGGAAATAGTCGGGGCTAGAACTTAGGTCTTCTGGTTCCTTCTCAGTTGCTTCCCTCCAAGGAGGCCAGGGCCCACCTTTTAGGAAAGGCTTCGGTCATTGGTCTCACCCTGTGGCCACAAGCATGGGACTGTCCGGAGCAGGACTGTCTGGAGCAGGACTGTCAGGGCCCCGGACAGTGACCCCCTCAGCTGTTCATAGTGTGTCAGCGCACCTCGGGATGAGGTGAGTGAGGCCCACACTAACACACAGTTGCTGTTGCAGAAACTGGGCACACTTGACTGTCTGGCTCTAGGGAGTCTGCACTGACTGGGCTTCTATAATGGGTGTCTTTCTGCAGTGGTTCCAGGTCTCCACAGACAACCTGTGGTGAAGGGTAGACTGGGGCTGGTATTCAGGAAGGCGAGGCCCAAGCTGGGGTTTCCTCGGATGTGTTCTGGAGAATGATGCTTCTCAGAAATGCCAGTTGGGGCTCCTTCTCCCCCTCCCCCTCTCCCTCTCGCTCTCTTTCTCCCTCTCTGCTGGGTGCAGTTTCTGAGTTGTGATGTGGGTACACTGAGGACACTCACAGTTACTGGGCTTCTGCAGTGGGAGGCTGGCTCCCAGGTGCCTGTCCACCGACGTCCTGTCTCATGTCTGACCCCAGGACCGGGCACATGCTCACCCACCAGAAGACAAAGCCCTTTGTGTGCATCGAGCAGGGCTGCGGCAAGAGCTACTGCGACTATCGCTCACTGCGTCGGCACTGCGAGGTGCAGCATGGCCTGTGCATCCTGAAGGAGGCTCCCCCGGAAGAGGATGCCTTCGGGGACTCCCCCCATGCTCCCAACACAGCTGGCCAGCCTCTGCCCAGTGGCCTGCAGTCCCTGGGGGCCCCAGAAGCCAGGTCCCCTGGCTCTGTCTTGCCCAACCGAGACCTTCTGCGTTGTATCGTGAGCAGCCTTGTCCACCAGAAGATCCCTTCTCCCGGCCCTGCCACAGTGGGGGTGCCGAGTGGTGAAGGGAGGAACGCGTCCTGTCCCTGCACCGCCTCACCAGGGCTCTCCTCCCGTATCCCAGGATCCCTGGGCACTGAGGTTCCCAAGGAGCCTCGTCCCCTACAGAAGGAGCCAGCTGCTGATGTGTTCACAGCCTTGGATTCAGGGACAGCCGAGAACAGTGACCCTAACCCTCCAGAGTCAGAGGCTCCACTTCTCCAGCTCCCTTCCTCCCAGGAGGACTGGCCTGAGGGTGGCTCCTTGGCCACCTCCCTGCCTCCCTTCCAGGTTCAGAAGGTCCCTGCCAGCTCGCAGCCATCCAGCCATGGCTTCCAGTGGCTCCAGAGCCTGCCCAGCTGCCCCAAGAGCAAAGGCAACAATGTGTTCATGGTCCACAAGGCCCCTAGGGAGGGCTCTGAGTCTGGCCCAGGAGCCAGCAGCACCTCTCCTCCAGCGGAGCCCTCACCCAGCGCAGGCAGCAGTCAGGACACACTGCCCCTCCGGCCCACACTCCTGAAGGTGCCCAGAGAAGCCTCAGGCGACCCCAGGCCTGATAGTGGGGACGAGGACAGCTGGGCTTCCAAGAAGGGTGAGTGCTTTCCGTCAGATGCCACACTGCTCTTCCACCAGCTGTTCCTGAAGTCGCAGGAGTCCCTGGCGAGCCATGAGCAGGTGCAGGTGTTCCAGATGATCACCAAGTCCCAGTGCATCTTCTCCCACGCCCAGGTCACAGCCCCCGCCTCCCAGCCCTCTGGGCCCGAGCACAAGCAGACTGCCCTGAAGTCATTGCAAGGCCCCTGGCCACAGCAGCCCCAGCCCCCGACACCCACTGTGGACTCTGTGCAGGTGGGCCCCAGAAGCACTGAGCCAGAGGGTTCCCCAGCCCGCAGGGGGAAGCCCATGCCCGCGGCACCCAGAGAGGCCTCCCCCAGTGGCACACAGCAAGATGCGAAGGGGGCACCGAAAGGGGCCTCTGCACCGCCCTCACTCAGCACACCGTCTCTGGACCACTCCTGGAATCCAGACCTCTCTTCTCAGGTCAAGCAGCTTCGATCTTCCAAAGGGACCTTGGACCTAGGGAACATCTTTCCCTCCGTGGGCCCAAGGCGATCCCAGGCAGCTGGCGATGAGCTGCCCAGTGCCCAGCTGTCCGAGAATGGCCCGGCCTTGGGGGCCACAAGAAGTGAGAAGGGCCCGGCTTGCACCCAGGGTGAAGGCTACAGGCTCTTCTCCGGCCACCCCAGGGCCCAGCGGTTCTCAGGCTTCCGGAAGGAGAAGGTGAAGATGGATGTGCGCTGTGCAGCTTCTCCAAGCCAGGTGGCCATGGCTTCCTTCTCGTCGACTGGGCCTCCTGCAGACCCTGCCCAGGATGTGAAGTCCAAGCTGACCATATTCAACAGAATCCAGGTACCCACACCCCTTTCGAGTGGCCTGACCATAGTGCAGCAAAAGTTTCCTTGGGGGTTTATTTTAGCATTTGTTAGCAATGTGAGGAGATAAGGTTCAGGGAGAGTGTGGCCCCTTCCATTCCAAAGCAAAACAAAACAAACTAGAATGAGCCCAAAACAGTTTTCCGAAGCACTTTGTGTCATTGTGTTATTTCACTAGGCCTTTTGTGCTTGCTTTCTTTTGCTTCCCGATCCCTTTTGGAGTTGGCGCCTGAATTCTTCAGAGGATAAAGACAGACACTCTCCCTCCGTTCCGTATGTCTGCATGGAATGGCCGGCTATGTCTTTTCTAACCAGCACGAGTGGGCCCACTGCGTGCTGCACACCGACAGGCATAGCCTTGTTCCTCTGTGGGTGTGCCCAGGGGGTCCTGGCAGCCTTAGCTGTTTCTCTTAGCAACAACAGCCTCCTTCCCATCATGCTACAGCTGCCCCCCTTACAGCTTTATTATCCAAACATCATATAATTCACCATTTTTTGTTTTGTTTTATTTTTTTTCAGATGGGGTCTCACCCTGTAATTCAGATTTGCCTTGAACCCATGGCAGTCCTCCTGCCTCAGCCTTCCCAAGTGCTGGGATCACAGGTGTGCACCACCACACCTGGCTTAATTCACGATCTGAAAGAGAGCAACTGGGTGGCTTCTAGTCCGTTCTGAGGTTGCACAATCATTACTAGTATTTACCAGAACAAACTGTGCACTCCAGAAAGAAGCACTGCACTCCTTGTCACCCCTAATCTTTCCATCCCCTGCAGCCCCTGGCAGCCACAAATGTACTTTACCTCTATAGACTGTCTGCTCTGGACATTTCTTGTAAGGAGAATCATACACTGCAGGCCTTCCACTCAGCAAGAGTCAGCGCCTCGGTGCTTTCCCGGCTAAGTGAGATTCCCTTAGACAGAGAGACCAGATTGCATTTGGCTGTTCTTTAGTAGGTGGTTTCTGCCTTTTAGCTTTTGTGAATAGGCTGCCACAGACATTCGTGCACACCTTTTTGTGCAGACACGTCCTCATTCCCCTCTGGGTAGACAACTCAGAGTGGATGTGCCAGGGCTAACATTCGAGGAAGCACCAGACTGGGTTCCAAAGCATCTACACTCTGCCTCCCCACGGCATGTGAGGCATCCAGTTTCCCTATGTCCTTGCCAACACTTGTTATTGTCCTTTTTTATTGTTCCTGTGATCACCCAAGTGGGTGTGAAGTTGTATTCATTTCCCTGATGGCGAATGATGTTGAACACCCCCTGTATGTGCTTTTTTGGCAATTTGTGTATCTTTTGAAGAGAAATATCCATCCAGGTGCTTTGGCCTGAGACTGAGGTAAGACTGCACTATTACTGAGTTGTAAGAGGTTTTTATATATTCTGGTTGCAACTCCTTATCAGATAAATTACTTACAAACACTCTTTCCTGTTTTGAGCTGTCTTCTCATTTTATTTGTGGTGTTGTTTGCAGGACAGACATTTTCATTTTGAGTGAAGTTCAGTGTGTCTCTTCAATGTTTTGTTTGGCTTTGGTTTATCCCTAAGAAAGCATTGTCTGACCCTCTGTCACAAAGACTGACTTCCACATTGTCTTCTACTGGTCTTTTTTTTGTGTGTGTGTGGTTTTGGTTTTGTTTTCCTTTTTCTTTTTTTGAGACAGGATCTCATTGTGTAGTCCAGGCTGGCCTTGAACTCACTATGTAGCCCAGGCTGGCCTCAGACTTACAGCAATCCTCCTGTCTCTGCCTCCCAAGTGCTGGGATTACAGGCATGCACCGCCATGCCTGGCTTCTTCTAAGGGTCTTATAGCTGGGCTCATCCATACCTCCTCGTTCCTGTTGTGTTGCTGATATGTATTTTCCTGACCAGGGTGGAAACATCTACAGGCTGCCCCATCCCATGAAGGAAGAGAGCATGGCAGGTAGATGGTAAGTTGAGGAGCCTCCTGCCCTGCCTGGCACTGCCCCCAGGAGTCCTGTGTGGCTTCAGGTGCTGTCCAGGGTGAGTGAGTTGGATGTCTTGGGTATGGCCTCTGTGTCTTTAGGGTTTTTCAAGGATGTTCAGTGGATTGGAGCTGAAAACAGTCAGTGGCCAGAGAGAGTCCCATTCTCCCATTCTTCCTTCCTGCCTCGTCTCCCACAGTAACCAGCAAAACAGGAGTCCCACGGACTGGACAGAGCCCAGGAGCATGTTCGTCTGCAAGAACTGCAGCCAGATGTTTTATACTGAAAAAGGCCTGAGCAGCCATATGTGTTTCCACAGTGACCAGTGGCCATCACCTCGGGGGAATCAGGAGCAGCAGGTGAAAGGGCAGCAGCAGTGGTTTCTGTGGTTACAGGGCTTGGCAGGCTTGGGGGAGGATATGATGGTGTCACCTGTCTCAGGTTGAAGATGGCATCCCAGAGGCAGCGTGGGTATGGCCCGGTGGCAGGGCCGGGCTGGTCTCTGGGACAGGCCACAGTGGTAGGATGGCAGCAGTCCCTGCCCCAGTCCTTGTCCCAGCTTCACTGCTGGGAAGTCTGCCACAGCCTTTCTAGCGATCCTCAGAGCGGCTCTGTCCCCTGCCTTCTGCCACCCTAAGAGTCTTAAAGAGCTTTGGAAGAGCCGTTGTCTCTCTGTGTTCAGGTGTTTGCCACAGAGTCTTGCAAGCCACCAAGACAGGCCCTGAGGCCAGACAGGGCCTGTGGCCCTAGCTCCTTGACCCCCCCCGGGGAGTGTGGGCACGGTGGGTGCTCGCCTGTCTACTTCTTCCCTGCTTTTCCCCCCTCCTGCGAGAGCTGTGGGAAGAGCCACCTGCTTTAGGAAATCCTGACTCTAGAAGCACTTGATGTATAGCTTCACTCAGTCATTCAGCATTCCCAGATCCTTCTATGTCAGCCCTGCTGCTGGGTAGTACAGGGGACACAGCGATGACCATGACAGCCCAGGCCCTGCCTCCCAGGGCTCCCAGTCCAGGGGAGGAGACAGACTCAGGCCAGACAGTGGGGACCCAGAGTCCGCAGGGCTGTAGGGGATGCTGAGGGACCAGCCTGCTGAGGTCAGGGAGGGCTTCCCTGAGGAGAGGCTGTCGGAGCTGAGACCCAGAGGAAGAGGAGAGGATGCTGGAGGTGAAGGAGAGCACTGAGTGGGAGCAGCTGGTGTCAAGGGGCTCCTGTCTTCAGTCCGCCCTGGGGGATCCCACTTGGAGAAATTTGTGCTGGACTAGGGAATGGCGTGCCTGGGCCCACTGGCTCCTGTGATCTGAGTGAACTCATTTTCACTGCTCACATGGTCACTCCCCACCTGGCCCCCATCTGCACAATGTCCTCTAAGCCACCGAGGCTGCGTCTGCACAGCTCCGGGCTCCAGGCTTGAGACAGCGCCAGGCTAGCGGCTTGGCTGTGGCCTGGGCCTGGCTGGGCAGTGCCTCTGAGGGCCTGCTCAGCCTCCCGTGCCCAGGGTTTGAGTGTGGCCCTGCAGGACACACGTGTGCTGCTTCCCTGTCTCCCATGGCCAGTCCTCTTTGCCCTCTTGTGCTAACCTGAAGACAGTGTTGCAGCAGGTGACCTCAGGTGACCCCTGTCGTTCTGAATACTTTTCTTCTCCAGGGACAAGAGAAGGATGGGGAAGAGAGAAACGACAAGGACGGCAGCCAACACAGGAAGCGGAAGAAGCGCCCCCAGCCCAGAGCATTGTTTATCCCTCCTCCACCCTCTGCGTTTGGGGACCCTGGCCCTGGAGGGGGCCACCAGAGCTGCCTGCGCTCTCCTCCTGTGTTCCTGGTGGACCACCTCCTGAAGGGCTTGTTCCAGTGCTCCCCCTACACGCCACCTCCCATGCTCAGCCCCATCCGGGAGGGCTCTGGGATTTACTTCAACACGCTCTGCTCCAAGTCCCAGGCTGGGCCACACCAGCTCATCAGCTCCACACTGGGTGAGTGAGGCCGAGTGCTCACTCCTTGCTGCAGACCCATGCCACCCCTGGGGCACCTGGTGCAGCGACACACAGGCCTTGAGACACCTGGCTTGAGAGTCTCAGTGCTGCTGAGAGTGCCCAGGCCTGTGCTGTGATGAGCACCTTCCGGTACTTAAGAGTTTTACAGCCACAAAGGACACAGAGGCCACTTAGCCTGAGTGCCCTTCTGCCTGCCCCTCAGTGTGAGATGCAGTCCACAAAGCATGCAGATCCCTCATATCAAGTGTATAGTGCTTTTGAGGACAGTCACAGGCCGTGCACCCACCACACAGTCTAACTAAAGCCCTTCCGTCCTCCCCAGGAGAAGCCCCTGCCCACCACCGATCTTATCCTCCTCCTCAGCTCACACCCTGTAGTCCCATGGCCCTCCCAGCTCTGGCAAATGCTCACCTGTGTCTTGTCTCTACACATTTGCCTCTTCTGGATATTTCATATAAATGGAATTATACAGTATATGACCTTTTGTGCCTAGTTTCTTTTACTTAGTATGGCACTTTCAGGGTCCATCTGTGTCATAGTCTGCATTAATGCTTCGTTCCTTTTTATGGCTGAATAATATTCCCTTGGATGGGTAGACCATATCTTATTTATTCATCAGTTCACGGGCATTTGAGTTTCCACTTTTTAGGCACTGTGAATAATGCTGCTATGAACAATTGTATACAACTTTGTGTTTGAATGGATGTTTCCACTTCTCTTGGGTACATACCTACAGTGAAATGCTGGGTCCTATGGTAACTATGTCTGACCATTTACGGACCTGCCAAACTTTTCCAAAATTTTTGCACCATTTTAGATTCCCCCTGGCAGTATGTGAGAGTTCTAATGTCTCCCATCCTTGCACACACTTGTTACAGTTTGCATTTTTATTGTAGCCATCCCAGTCAGTATAAAGTGGTATCTGAGTTGGTTTTGGTTTCTGCTCCCCTCCTGCCTGATGCCACTGAGCCCTGTTGTGTGTTCTTCTTGGCTGTATGTGTATCTTGTTACATAAATCCATGAAGCTCAATTTTTTTCTTTTGTCATTTGCACTTTGATGTTAAATGTAAGATGTTGCCTTACTCAAGGTCATGTGAGAAGAGTTACTCCTGTTCTAAGAGTTTTGCAATTTTGACTCTTACATTTAGATCAGTTAACTTGGTGTATGAGGTAGGGGTTCAGGTCCATTATTTTTCACGTGGATGTCTAGCTGTTCAGCAGCATTTGTTAAAAAGACTATTCCCATTGAACTGTCTTGGCACCTTTATTGAAAATCTGTATGCAAAGGTTTTGTTTGTTTGTTTATTTTCCGGTACTGGGGCTCAAACTCAGGACCTTGTCCTTGCAAGGCAGGTGCAGCGCCACTGAGCTAAATCCCTGGCCCTGCAAGGGTTTTTTGTTTGTTTGGTTTTTGTCTTTGAAATCTGTTCTTTTGATTTGTATATTTATCCTTATGCCAGAACCACACTGTTTTGATCATTGTCACTTTTTGCTAAGTTTTCAAATGGGAAATGTGAGTTTTCCAACTTTATCATTCTTTTTAAAGATCATTTTAGGGCCAGGGATTTAGCTCAGTGGTTGCGTGGCCTGCCTCGAAAGCGCAAGGACCCAAGTTCGATCCCAGTACCAAAAGAAAAAACAAACAAACAAAAAAAGATCATTTTAGCTGTTCTGGGGCTCTTGTGTTTCCATAGAATTTTAGGATCAACAGTGGTTTTGATAGCTACTGTGTTTAATTTGCATATCAATTGGGAGTATTGCCATCCTAAACAATTTTAAGCCTTTCTATCCATGAACATGGGATGTCTTTTCATTAGATCTTGTTTCATTTGTTTCCATAATGTTGGTAGTTTTCAATGGGTGTCTTAAACTTCCTTTGTTATAGTTATACTTAAATGTTTTATTCTTTTTGACTATTGTAAATGGATTTATTTCCTTAGTTTCATTTTAGAATATTTTTGTTTGTTTTTTGGTGTTTTTTCCTTTGGGTTTTTTTTTTTTTTTTGTACTGGGGATTGAACTCAGGACCTTGTGCTTGTGAGGCAGGTGCCGGAACCACTGAGCTAAATCCCTGGCCCTTCGTTTGGTTTTTTTGAGACAGGGTCTCACTATGTAGTTCAGACTAACCTTGAGCTCACTATATAGCCCTCACTGGCCTTTAAATCATGGTGATCCTCCTGCCTCAGCCTCCCAGATGCTGGGTTACAGGCATGCACCACCACACCCAGCATAGAATGTTTATTACTGGTGTATAAAAGTACAATTGATATTTTTATATTGATCTGGTATCCTGAGATATTGCTGAACTCATTTAGCAGTTGCAATAGTTTGGTGTTTTTTTTTTTTTTTTTTTGTAAACATTTCTTAGGATTTCTTTTTTGTTATTTTTGTTTTGTTTTGTTTTTTGTTTTTTGAGACAGAGTCTTGCTATGCAGTTCAGGCTGGCCTTATCTGTGCTCCTTCTTCCAAGTGCTAGGATTCATGACCATGCCTGGCTGGATTTTTATACATACTAGATCATATCATCAGCAAATAGAGATAGTAGATACATGTATCAATTTGAGGAAATTCCCCTCTTCTCTTGCTTTGTTGAGTATTTTTTTTTATCATGAAAGAGTGTTTGATTCTATGTCACAATTTTTTTCTGCATCTATTGAGATGATCATGTAGTTTTTGTCCTTTGTTGAATTGATATGCCCTATGATATTAATTTATTTTTATGTTTTGGGCCAGGGATTTAGCTCAGTGGTTCCACCGCCTGCCCTGCAAGCATAAAGTCCCAAGTTCGATCCCTGGTACCCTCCCAAAAAAAGGTTAAAAATATTTTGATGTTTAATCAATTAAGTTTATGTTGTATCCCTGGGGTAAGTCCCCACTTGGTCATCAGGTGTTATTCTCTTGCATGTTGGAATTGATTTGCTACTATTTCTGGGGGGTTTGTGTCTGTATTCATAAAGGGATTTGGTCTTCATTTGTTTTGTGATATTCTTGGTTTGGCAAAAGGGTGGTACTGGCCTCACAGAGTGAGTTTGAAGTGTCCCCTCCTGTTTTGTAGAGGATTGGATTAATTCCTTAACTCTGTCTGGCCTGGGATTTTTTTTTTTTTTTTTTTTTTTTGGTACCGGGGATCAAACTCGGGACCTTGCACTTGTGAGGCAGGTGGCAGAACCACTGAGCTAAATCTCCAGTCCAGGCCTGGGATTTTTGAGTATTGGGAGGCAGGGGTGTGAGAAGTTTTAATAATTACTAATTTCATATGTTTGCATAGTTCTATTCAGTTTTTCTATACTGGGGATCGAACTCAGGTCCTTGCACTTGCGCAGCAGGCAGCAAAAGGAATTTCTTAATTTTATCTAAATTATCTTATTTGGGCTGGGGATTTAGCTCAGTGATTACGGTGCCTGAATCGAAAGCTCAAGGTCCCGAGTTCAATCCCCTGTACCAAAAAAAAACCCATTATCTTATTTATTGGCATGTAATTGTTCATTATATTCTCTTTGGGGTTTTTATTTTATTTTTTGGGTTCTTTGGGGTTTTTTAGACTAGGTCTCATTATGTAGTTCAGGCTGGTTGTTGTTGTTGTTTTTTGTACCAGGGATTGAACTCAGGACCTTGCCAGGCTGGTTTTGAACTCACTGTGTAGCCTAGGTTGGCCTTGAACTGATAGTGATGCTCCTGCCTCAGCCTCCCCCTCCCCCATGCTGGGATTACAGATTTGTGCTACCATCCCCAGCTTCATTGTATTTATTATAATCCTTTTATTTCTACTAGATTGGTAGGGACACCACCCTTTCATTTCACCACTTCTGTCTTTCTCCTTCCCTCTCCTTCTCTTTATCCTCCTCTTCTTTTCTCCTTTTGTCTTCTTCCTTCTCCTGTCTCCCTCTGCAGAAGTTTTATCAATTTTACTGATCCTTTAAATTTTTCTGGTTCTATTGATTTTTCTCTTTTTAGTTTCTGTTTCATTTATTTTTCTCTTTTTTATTACATTCTTTTTAATTATATGCTTGCTTCGAGTTCAGGTTGCTTATAGTTTCTAGTTTCTTAAAATGAAAGTTTAGGTTATCAATTTAAGAATTTCCTTTTTTTCTTTTTGAGTCAGGGTCTCACTGTGTAGTCCAGGATGCCTTAAACTCTGTGGCAATCCTTATGCCTCAGCCTCCTGAATGCTAAGATTATAGGCATGCACTACCATCCCCAGGCAAGAATTTCCTTCTTTTTAAAATTTCCATTTTACACTATTTTAGCCACATTTCTTAATTTTAATATGTTGTATTCTTGCTTTGTTCCTTTCAATATTTTCTTTTCTTTTCTTTCTTTCTTTCTTTCTTTCTTTCTTTCTTTCTTTCTTTCTTTTTTTGGTACTGGGGATCGAACTCACAACCTTGCCCTTTCAGGTGCGGTGCCACTGAGCTAAATCCCCAGCTCTAATTTTAATTATTTTCTAACTTCAGTATTTTCTCTTGTGATTTGGCACATTGATTGCTGAAGAGTATAGTGTTTAATTTCTACGTATTTTTTTCCTCTTGATTTCTTGTTTGTTTGTTGTTTGGTACTGGGGATCGAACTTGAGTCCTTGCACTTGCGGGGCAGGCAGTGGAATCACTGAGCTAAATCCCCGGCCCTGTTTGTTTGTTTTTGAGACAAGATCTTGCTTTGTAGTTCAGGCTGGTCCTGAACTCACTACTTACCCCAAGCTAACCTCGAACTTGCAGTGATCCTCCTGCCTCTGCCTCTGGAGTGCTGGGATTACAGGCATGCACCACCACACCTGGCCTATTGATTTCTAATCTAAGTCTAACATGGTCAGAGAATATACTTTGTTTGACTTCAATCCTATGTTTCCTGGTCTAGGATGTGTTCTGTCCTGGAGAATGTCCCCTGTGTCCTCAAGAGGCTGTGCATTCTCCTGACGTGGATGTGCTCTGGAGATGTCACTTAGATCTACTTGGTTATAGTCCTGCTCAAGTGTTGTCTTTCCCAGTTCATCTTCTCCCTAACTGTCCTATCCATAAGTGACTCTATTCTTTTTTTTAAAATTTTTTCGCAGTGCTGGGGCTTGAACTCAGACCCTTGCTCATGCTAGGTGAGATCTTTACCACTCAGCTAGATCTCCAGCCCTTGAATTCTTTATTTGGTCCTGCAATTCTGTGAGGTTTTTCTTCATATATTTTTGGGTTCTGTTCATAGGTGTATATATGTTTATAATTTTAGGTCTTTTTGTTGGCTTGACTTTTTATTATAAGATGCCCCTCTCTAGTAATATTTTTTGTTTTAAGATCTAATTTGTCTAATATTAATATAGCCATTCCATCTCTTTTATGTTTGTTGTTGGTATGGTATATGTTTTTCTGTTCTTTAGTTTTCAATATATATGTCCTTAAAGTGTGTCTCCTATATACAGTGTTAGTTGGATTAAATCTGACAAACTGCCTTTTGATTCAGTTGTTTAATCAATTCACATTTAATGTTATTATCAATAACATGGATAATATGGCGTGGTTGAATTTACATCTAGTATTTTGCTTTTTATTCTCTATGTGTCTCATATCTTTATATCTTTTTTTCCCTTCTGCTCATCTTTTCCATTAAATATTTTCTGGTGTAACATTTTAATTCCACTAACTACTTTTTAAACCTTGTCTTAGTTATTTCTTAGTGCTTGCTCTAAGTCTCACAGTATACATTTTATCAGGACCTTTTCAGATGTCTACTAACTTAAGTACAGAAACATTACTCCTATCTAACTCTGTTTCATCTAGTGCATTTTTGGTACTGTTATTGTTCTATTGGTGGTAGATAGATAGGTCAGTAGTCAGGCATACTCTGAATTACATGTTTCATAATTCTTACTTTATATACTTGGCTGTCATGTTTTTAAAAGCTGAGAGAATAAAAAGAAAGCAAGTATTATTTATAGAGTTTGTTATATTAACCTTCCATTAAATAACTCTTGATCTCTTCATTTATTCTTGTGGATCTGAGTTACCATCAAGTATTATTTCTTTATTCCTGTACAGCTTTACTCCTTTGTATTGTTATCATATATTTCTAGATGTTATAAGCCTATAATACATGTTTTATGCAGTTGGTTTTTAAGAAAAGAAACAGGCAGTTATACTGCTTTTTTAAATTACACAATTACCTTTACCAACACTCTATTTTTTTCTATGTAGATTCATATTACTATCTTCTGTCACTTGCTTTCACCCTGAAGAACTGTCTTTCGTGGTTTTGTTATTTTTTTTCAAAAGATACAAAACTTTTTTTAAATTAAAAAACAGCAGGGTGGGGGATTTAGCTCAGTGGCTCCACCACCTGCCCCTCAAGTACAACAACCCGAGTTCCATCCCCAGTACAAAAAAAAACCACAGCAAAAGTCTCCTGAAAAAAACCAACAACCAGGCAGTCACAAGACCCACCTGTCTCTTGTATCTATCATAGTTACTATGTACAATATTATAAAAAGTCTCAGACAGTACAAACAAGGGCCGCTGTCCCTGGTCCTCTAATGTAGACCCATCCCAGGAAATGACACAGAATTATCGCACCATATTGAAAACAAAACTCATCAAAAGAGGGTCATGTCTCCTCCTGTGGGCCTCCAGTCACAGACGGGGCTGGCATGGTGGCGGCATCATCACCATGAGGGAAGAGGGGGACCCCTCTGAGAGTACTTTTATTTTTTTGTTTGTTTTGTGGGGGTTTTTTGGTACCGGGGATTGAACTCGGGACTTTGTGCTTGCTCGGCAGGCACCAGAACCACTGAGCTAAATCCCCAGCCCAAAGTGCTTTTATTTTTAAAAGATAGCTTTAATTAGTCATCCATATCATATACAAAATATCCCTTTAAAATATATAATTCAGTCATTTTCTTAGTATGTATACACTGAGCTGTACAACATCACCACAATACATTTTCAGACATTTTCTTCAACCCAAAATGAAACTCCTTTGTTACCAGTCACTCCTTTCCTGCCCTCTTGCCCAGTCCTAGGCAGTACCCATATACTTCCTGTCTATATATTTGGCTATTCTGGATATTTCATATATATGGAATCATAGCTCTTTGTGTCTGGCTTCTTTCACTCAGTACTGTACCATGGCTTTAGATTTCACCTCTGTTGCACTATGTATCTGGTTTCTTTCTTTCCATGGGTGAATAATATTCCACTTGTGTTTCTTGTAAGCAAAGTTTGCTAGCAACAAATTTTCTCAATTTTTTAAAACATGGGAATGTTTTCATTTGACCATTTTTTAAAGTTCACTTGCCAGATATGAGACTTGGCTAACACTTTTAGCACATTGAGTATGTTATCCCACTGTCTCTGACCACCATTGTTTCTGGTGAGAAGTCAGCTATTAATCTTATCTGGTTCTCTTGTATGTGATGAGATTTTTGGTGTTTTCACATTTTGCTTTTGACATTTTTATCTTTGATTTTTCAACATCTTCCTTGAATGTGGATTTCCTTGTGTTTATCTTAGAGTTCATCGAGCTTCTTAAGTTTTATATTTTTTTTATCAAATTTTGGAGGGTTTGAGCTATTTTTTTCTTTAAGTATTTTTCTGTCCCTTCATCCTCTCCATCCAGTACTCCCACTGTTATCACTTCTCAGCCTTTTGGCTAAGATCAAGTGCAGTGTTCCCATTGTATGTGTTTGCAGTACATAATGGCTTCCCACATTTCTCTGAGGATCTCTTCACTTTTATTCATTCTTCTCTGTTCTTCAGATTTCATAATCTCTACTGATCTGTCTTCAAATGTGCTGATTCTTTTTCCTTCTGTCAACTCCGACCTTTTGAGTTCCATTTTGCCTATTGGACTTTTTATCCCCAGAAGAAAACCTGCCAATCTACCTTCCTCAAAATATTTGAAGCATGGGCACTGGAGGCCAAGGGAGCTCCTGTCTGGGCCACACCTCCCTGCAGTGGAACCCTGAGGGTGACACCTCAGGACATGGACAGGATAGGATAGGAAGCTAGTCATGGTTCAGATGCTACACATTCTTGTTCTTCCCAAGACTATCAATTTTTTCCCATAAATATTTCTCCTAATACTGTATCCCCATAGGACAATTTCCAGAGACCTTAACTTATTATTTTATTTGTTTGTTTGTTTATTTATTTGTTTATTTATTTGACTTTTTTGAGACAGGATCTTGCTGCGTAGTCCAGGCTGGCCTCGAACTTGCATCAATCCTCTGGCCTCAGCCTCCGGAGTGCTGGAATTACGGGCGTGTGCTACCACGCCCAGCTTATTATTTTAATACCTATGTGTAATTTTCATCCATTAGTTTGTTTGCTAAGTGCCTTTCTCTGCCTTTTCAGAAGTCCTTCCACTTCCCATGGGACCTTAAAGGCCTGTTTTCAGCTGTGTCCACAAGGGCAGGCAGGGCCACATCCAGTCAATCTTCTTGAGGCTTTTCACTGTGTTTTCTAGATCAAGTGGATGGCTCTTTTAGCATCTGTGTGGTGAAGGACGATTCTAAGATCAGCATTGAACCGTGAGTTGGAACACACTTAGAACATGAGGGTCCTTCTGAGTGAGGTTGCTTTTACCCCCTGGGGTTCCAGCATCACTTTTTCCCAGGGGCTCCTTCTTCACGGGGAGGGCAGGTCTAGCTGCAGAGGCTCCCTGGGGAGAAGCAGTGGATTCCTTCCAATGTATGTAGCACGTCTTGTCAGTATTCCTTCTGTCGAGACAGACTGTTGGGCACATGGGGCAGACGCCCTGTACCTTGGGATTCTAGGCAGAATGCCGATGGCGTAGTAGAGGACCTCAGAGTATCTGTGGAATGTAGCTGGGCAGATGTGACGAGGTAGCAGCATGTACCTCCTTGTCCTAGCAAGGCACCCCAGGTGAGAAATCTGGGCACGAAGAAAAACAGAAGGGAAGAAGGAAGTGTCCCTGAAGAGCTTTCCGAAGAGCCTGGTAGTAATCAGGGTGATGAGTAGCTGCTGTGTCTGAGACATGGCAGTGGGTTTGCACAGAACAGGCTGTGGCTGACAACAGGCAGGGCACACAGCGCATCTCTGCTCTGTTTCCCTCTTAGTCATCTTTGCGTGTCTTGTTTCAGACACATCAACATAGGAAGCCGCTTTCAGGCTGAAATCCCAGAGCTGCAGGAAAGGTCGCTGGCCAGGGCTGATGAGCACGTGGCCTCTATGGTCTGGAAGCCGTGGGGAGATGTGATGACCAACCCAGAGACACAGGACAGAGGTGGCCGGGCTCTGGGGTCAAGCTCCCAAGGCCTCTCCTCCCCCTGGGGATGGGGAGTGGAGAGGGCTGGCTTCTCCTGTGCTGCGTTCTCTGCCCATCTCGCCCAGGGCAGCTGGCCAGGCCTTCCAGAGCCAGTGCTGGGGCGGGGCCTCAACTGGCCTTCCATCCCGCCGCTTCCCCTGTCTGCACTTGATGGAGATGTGTGGAGAGGGGAGGTGACAAGGAGCCTCCCTGTGTGGTTGAGGGAGGTTTCCTCCTTGGCACGTGCTCACTCCCTTGTATCTCTTCTTCCCCACACTTGCTGGGAACCACAGTGACAGAGCTCTGCAATGTGGCGTGTTCCAGCGTGATGCCAGGAGGGGGCACCAACCTGGAGCTCGCCCTGCACTGCCTGCACGAGGCCCAGGGTAGCATTCAGGTGAGGCAGCAGGGACACCCTGCTCCCCTGGGGCCAAGGTTACAGGTGCACACAGCCTGCCACGGGCTTGGGGGAGCCTGCCAGTCCCTCCGCGGTGGCTCTGACATGCTGGTCACTGATCCCAAGAAGAGTCAGGGCCTGGGGAGGGGAGCTCAGTAGACCTGGCTCGGGCTCCCCTGAGCTTGTTTAAGAAGCCTCATCTCCTGATGAAAAGGCCATGGAAAAAACCCTGTCGCGACGTAAATGCCACTGCTTGCACGCCCACCCTTGGAATTCTGGGGGTTAGGAATGTCCAGCTCTGAGTAGCAGGAGCGGAAGAGTGCCATTGTCTGTGCTGGCTGTTAAGTTAGGCCACCTGCTCACTGAGTGATGCCCACGGATACCTGCAGTATTGTAGGCTCAGGGGCCAGGATGGCTCAGCACTCTGTTGCCACTGTCTTAGTGGCTTCATACTTTTTTTTTTGGTACCGGGGATCAAACTCGGGTCCTTGCGCTTGCGCAGCAGGCAGCGAAACCACTGAGCTAAATCCCCGGCTGCTTCATACTTTTTAGAGGTCCCTGTTTCTATTTTGCACTGGATCCCAAAATTACATGTGTGGTCCTCAGTGGGGTTACAGTGGGGGTTGAGACTAAATCCTTGCCTGCATGGGGTTTATATTTTAGGGGAGTCAAAACAGGAAATACATTTTTTAAGCTTATTAGCTAACAGTGAGTGCTATGGAAAAAGTAAATGGGGTACTGAGCTAGAGTGCTCCTCCAAACCCCAGTCCCCAGTGGAATAGATGCTTTTGCCAGAGTAAATGAATACACAGTTTCTTTCATCAAGGATGTCATCTCTCCATGGCAAGGATAACAACTACTCAGCAGTGTGCTTAATGCCATTGTCACCCGCCTGGCCGTGGTCCAGGCACTGACCCCTTGAGTAGCCAGGAGTCAGAACTGTAGGGCTGGCTATGAGTGGTTTTCAGATGAACCAGAGAATGGAGGTGATCCTGCGCCTCACCTCCTCTCCTTTCAGGTGGCCTTAGAGACACTGCTAATCCGAGGAGCCCGGAAGCCTTGGACACACCCGCTGGCCGACTACCGCTACACAGGTGACTAGACAGAGGCTGCTGGGATGTGTGGCCCTGGCTCAGGCCCCTTCAACAAGACAGGTGGTTGGGGGCTCTGCCTCTGCCTCTTGGAGTCCTCTTCAACCCTTTGTCTGCCTTGCCGGAAGGGCCTGTCCTGTGGTAACTGAGCAGGCACCTGTTCCTGCTCATTGGAGTCTCCCTTCCCCCTGACCAGCGGTTCCCATAGGGCTGTGTCCGGCCAGGGGACAGGACAGGCGCTGTCAGCTCAGGTTCCACACCGGAGCTCACCAGCCCCAGACTGAGCCTTGGGACCCTCAGCCGCCACAGCTGTGCAGCAGGAACACTGTGACCTTGCAGGGCTTTTGTGAGGACTGTACGAGGCTGGCAGGCGACTCGTTCTTAGTGATGCCAGCTTTCACAAGGAGGGCGGCCTGCATTTCAGGGATGCCTGTGGTCCCACAAGGAGCAATATCCTCCTCTTGGCTGTGTCCTCTTGACAGGTTCAGACATCTGGACCCCCATGGAGAAGAGGCTCTTTAAGAAGGCATTCTGTGCCCACAAGAAGGACTTCTACCTAATACACAAGATGGTAAGGCAGCGAGGGGAGGCAGATAGGGTGCCCGTCACACAGCTACAACAGAGGAAGGGAAGGGCCCTTGGCGCCCAGGACCCCGCCTCCATGCCTGTGGCCACAGTCCACTCAGACTGTCCGAAAGCCAAACACAGAACCAAAGTCCTCCTTGCCCCTGCCACTCCCTACTTCTGACTGAGGAGCTGTGGAAACTCCCTGGCGAGCTTACAGGCATTTCCTGTCTGTCCAGATGTACACACACGTATGCTCATACTTAAAAAGCATGAGCTCTTACTGAATATAAGATTCTGCCGCTTCTGTCTCTTTTTTAAACTTGAGGTACACGAAACTGCACATAATCAAAGTACAAGATTTGGTAAGTTGACATGTTCATACACCTGGGAAACCACCATGACCAAGATAATGAACAGATCTATGGCCCCTCAAGTTTCCTTCCAGCCCTGGAACCCACCACCCAGGCCACTCCCTGTCAATAAATTCATCTGCACTTCTAGAGCCTTGCATCAGTGGAATAGTCACAGAGCACATGCTCTGCTTTGTCCAGCTTCCTGAATTCCACACAGTTGAGGTTCGTCCTTGTTGCACATATTAACAGTTCACCCCTTTTTACTGCTGAATTTTACCATGCCATGGATGGCATGGTTATACCACAGTTTGTTTTTGGTTTTTTTGTTTTTGTTTTTTGCAGTACCAGGGATTGACTCAGGACCTTGTGCTTGCAAGGCAGCTGCAGTGCCACTGAGCTAAATCCCCGGCCCCTTCCACAGTTTGTTTAATTCTTCATTAATTGATGGACATTTGAGTAGTTTCCAATTGGAGGCTATGATAAAGCAGTTGTGAGCATTCATGTGTGAGTCCACTTTCAGAGTTTACTGTGTCTTGTCAGCTGATACCTAGCCTAGTGTTTTGCTCACCATTTTTTACCCCATACCAGGGATTGAACCCAGGGGCTTCACCCTGAGCTCCATTCCACCCTTTTTTTAAATACATTTTAAATTTTGAGATAGGGCCTCAATAAATTGATAAATTGTTTAGGCTGGGCTTGAACTTGCCGTCCTCCTTCTTAAAGCTTCCACAGTGTAGGGATTACAGGCCTTCGCTACCACACCTGGCCAGAGAGCATTCAGCTTTTCTTAGTCCCCACTAGTAAACGTGTGGCTATTGGCCTGAGGTTGCGGTGAGCATCATACGTGTCTCTCCATAGGAAAGAACTCCTGGGCTGGATTGCTGCTCTCAGTGTGCTGGGCCTAGGTTTGGTGGCTACTGTGGCTTCACTTTGGAAGCCCTTGTCACCTGGGAGGACACTCTGGCCCCTGCCTCTGAAGCGAAGGGAGCAGAGGTGTTGTGGAAAGGCTTTCAGCAGGTGCTGGCTGGCAGGGATAGGATCAGCTTTCGGGGCCTGCAAGGCGCTGCCTACAGTGTGGTTCCGTTTTCTTCCACTAGATCAAGACAAAGACAGTGGCACAATGTGTTGAGTACTATTATGTTTGGAAAAAAATGATCAAGTTTGACTGTGGCCGAGCTCCTGGGCTAGAAAAGAGGGTCAAGAGAGAGCTGGATGGAGTGGAAATGACAGAAGAAAAGGTAGAGGCCTAGCGGGGGAGGCCTAGCGGGCACCCCTGATTCAATACCCACTGCGGTCACAGCTGGAGGGAGGGAGGTGGTCCTGAGGGAGGGTCTCCCTGCTGACCTGTGTCTGCCTCACAGGACTGCAAGGTCAGTGCCCGTGTTTCATTTCCACTTCCTCTGCAGGTCACCTGCAGCCCTCAGGAGAGACGCAACCACAGCCCAACTCCCGAGTTAAAGATAAAGACCAAGAGTTACAGGAGGGAGTCCATCCTCAACTCCAGCCCAAGTGCAGGCCCCAAGCGGACCCCCGAGCCGCCAGGAAGCGTGGAGAGCCAGGGCGTTTTTCCATGCAGAGAATGTGACAGGTACATGGCCTGTCCCTGGGATGCTCACACCTCCCTGGCCTCTGCCTCCCCACCCTGACCCCAAGTTCTCTGGCACCTGCTCAGGGTGTTCGACAAGATCAAGAGCCGGAATGCCCATATGAAGCGACACCGCCTTCAGGAGCATGCAGAGCCCATCCTCAGGGTGAAGTGGCCGGCGAAGCCCTTTCTGCTGAAGGAGGAGGAGGAGGAGGAGGAGCTGGGCACTGACATCAGCCCCCTGCAGTGGTGACTCCGTGGGGCCTGCAGCCCTGCTCTGCCTTCCTGTCTGCTATCGGCCAGCTTCCCTAGCGAACATGTGGTCACTCAGCCACAGACAGCTGCTGATTCCCTGGCCAGTGGGGCTAGATGTTCCATTCTCTTGAGGTTAAGAGGCTCTCCTCTTCCTCCAGTCCCGTACTGCCTAAAGCAGGGAGGCCTGGGGAGATGAAAGGGTGGGGGGTCTATGTAACTCTTAAGTCTGAGCCTCCAGCTTGGGTTCCTTGCCTTGGTTAGCTAAGGCCAGGATGCAGAAGATCAGTGGGAAGGTGTCCTGAGACTCCAGTGTGCTGGGGCCCTGCCTCCAGGCAGGGATCTCTACTTTCCAGATTCATCCCTCTACTTGCAAGGACTTGTACATTGTTAGGTCTGGTTTTGTACATATCTGTGTGAAAACCTTATTAAATTGGGTTCTTGAGCAGCTGTCTTCTTGCTTCCCGGCCTGTGGATCCCACAGAGGTTCTGAACTGCAGCCACCTGCCAGGGCCAGAAGGTGAGTCTGCTGCTGCCTGCCCAGAGGGCGGGTCCATGGGGCATTCATCCAGCACACCTTCACTCAGCACCTGCTGTGTGCGTGCCAGACAGTTCCCACCCACACAGCAGGGACATGGCAAAGCAAGAGGGGCATGGCCCTTTCCTCACAGAGCTCCGTTTTTAGGAGTGGGAAGGCAGTAGTAATAAGCAAGCAAAGAAAGTGATTTCACATCGTGATGGGGTGTGTTTTGGGCCAGTGTAACGGAAGAGTCAGGGTAGGTTTGAGCCATCAGCATATCAGGGCTCAGCCCTGAAGGGAAGGACCTCTGTGGCAGGTGACTGTACCCAGGCTGCCGCAGAGACAAGAACAGCCACCTCCACATGCCCCAGCCTGCAGAGGGGCAGGAAGAGTGTGGCATCCTCTCCTGTGCCCCTTTTGAAGAGTCAGGGAGACCTGAAGCAGCCCCCAGTAGGCTGTCCCTTGGGCCTCACTGGCCAGGATGGCAGTCTGAGCTCGGCTCTATGTTGTCCCGGCAGTGGGAAGGAAATGGCCAGTTGTCCTGGTGCCTCAAGATCTGTCTCCAGGACCCAAGAAAATGAGTGTGTCCCCTCAAGTTTGTTGCCACGTAAGCAAAGCTGGAATCCCTTTAGCCAGGAAAACAAGAAGAAACACCAATGATGGCCCCTGGGTAGGGCAGACCACTGTGTTGGCTATAAGCAAAATGAAGAAAATAAAAAGGGGCCAAGTCCCAGCAAGTGACCAGGAGGTAACAGAGGTTAGGTGGACAGCCAGGGGAGGGTGGGATCTGGCCTGGCAAAGCCCAGACTGCTGTGGGAAACTAGCAGAGGCAGTTAGGGAAGTGACCTCCGAGGCGCCTGTTCACACAGGCAGAGAGCTGCAGGGGACAAAATCGAAAGCCCAGAGTAGCCAAAAAGCTCCATGGTGAGGTGACAGTGGCTTGGACTGGAGTGGCAGCAGAGGGCCAAAAGCACAGGACTTTGGAATGTGTTCTCAGAGTCCCCAGGCTTGTTCGTGGTCACACAGGAAGCAGGGGGCGGTAAGTAAAAGCTCAGGGTTGGCATGGCAGGTTTGGGACCCGAGCAGCTGCAGAGATGCTGTCAACTCGGGCAATACGAGAGGACTGATTGCTCCACGCCACGGCGGGATCATGTACATACATATGTGTGTGTGCTGTGTTCTGAAGGACTGGTAGGGCGAGCAGAGTGGATGGCACTGTCAGAAGGGCCACATTTCAGCTAAGTCGTGATGTTTGGGAGGGAGAGAAAGAGGCAGCAGTGTGAAGCCACTGGGGCACGCTGGTTAAGGGAAAGGACTCAGGTACCCCATGAACCTGAATTTGTGCCCTGGCCCCTCTTTCATCATTGCAAGTCGCTTTCCTGTGTGAACCTCAGTTTTCTCCATCTGTAAAATGGGATGGAGAAACGAGAAAATGTAAATTAAGTACCGGGCAGATTCACTGTATGAGCGAAACACTACTACTTAAGATGCAGTTCATTGCTGCCACTGGCTATTGCTTGGGTCCCACCGCAATGACCAAACTCTGGAAATGAGACTGGCTTAAGGGTTAGGGAGATATTAGTTACCTGTTGCTTTGTAACAAATTACCCTCAAATTTAACAAGTTAAAACAAACGGAAGGGCCAGGGATTTAGCTGAGTGGTTCCGGCACCTGCCTCCCAAGCACAAGGACCCGAGTTCAATCCCTGGTACCAAAAAAAAAAAAACCACCCAAAAAACAGAAGCTTTTATGATAGCACCACTTTGACAGACCAGGAACTGAAACTGCCTGTGGCAATGCAGACTCCCCCACCTGCCTCTGGTCGGAGTACAGTGGCAACCACAGGCGGTAGGTCAGGAAGTGTCTAGTGTAAGATGAGAGTTGGCTAAGGTTTCTTCAGGGTTACCCTGCCCGGCCAGCACCCACCTCAGATAACAGCGTTTCCTTAAACAGCAGTCCCGACTGTCTAGTTCCTAATCATCTGTGGTTCTGTAAAGACAAAAACACAGATTCCGGTACCCCTACCACATATGCAGAATTGGAACCATAAGGGTAGGGCCCTGGAACCTGATTTTATGTAAAGAAGCCTTTTAAAATACTTTAAGATTTGCAGAGGTTTGCAAAGATAGTACGGGGAAAAAACAAACCCATAGATAGTGCACCTGGTTTGCCCATCATGAACATCTTGGATTAGCATGGTGTGTTTGTTACAACTCACAAACATTATTAACTAAAGTCCTTGTTTAACTTAGATTTCCTTCCGTTTTACCTAGTTTCCTTCTCTGCTAGACTCCCGCTATCACCAACACCACAATGCATTTAGCAGGCACATCCCCTCAGGCTCCTATTGCTGTCAGTTTCTCAGATTTCTCTTGTTCTCATGACTTGACTGATTTGAGGAGAACTGGTCAGATATTTTAGAGAATGTGCAATTGAGATTTACCTGTTTTTCTCATGATTAAACTGGTAAGAAAACACAGAAGTGCCATTCTGGTCACATCTTAAAGTTACATGCTATCAGCGTGACTTACCATTGTTTTGTTTGTCACTAGTAGTCTAGGCTGGGCTTGAGCTCACTATGCAACCCAGCTAGCCTCAAACTGGCAGTGAGCCTCCTGGCTCTGCCTCCTAGGTGTTGGGATTACAAGCATGCAGGGCTGATTTATCATTGTTGATGTTATCCTCAGTTGGCTGGGTGACCATGTTTGTCAGGCTTCTCCCCTGTAAACAAGCCTTCCCATCCTCCTCCCGTATTGTAGTTTTTGGAAGGAAGTCAGTATACGCGTCCACACTTAAAGAATGGCGGGTAGGGCCAGGAATTTAGCTCAGTGGTTCCGGCGCCTGCCTCACAAGCACAAGGTCCCGAGTTCAATCCCCAGTACGAAAAAAAAAAGAATGCCAGGTAGTGCTGGTCCGGGATAGCACAGGACTGTAATCCCAAATACTTGGGAAGCTGCAATAGGAGGAAAGGAAGTTTGAGCCCAGCCTGGGAAACTTACAGAGAGTCTGTCTCAAAAATTTTAAATGAATAAAGGATTGGGATGCAGCTCAGTGGTAGAGTGCTGCTGGGTTCCAAATCCAGTACCCCTCCCCACCCAGCAAAAGGGGGTGAGTGGACTTATGCTCCACTTTCTTGAGGGTAGAGTATCTACAAAAGTTATCTGAAATTCTTCTGTACAGACTGTCTTTTCTCCCCTCTCTATTATTTGCTCAATATATGTAGTTGTTCATTTATATCAGCCTGAGTTTATGCATACTTTATGTTTGGGGTTATAATCCAATACTTTATTTTGTTGCTCAATTTGTTCCAGCCTTGGCCACTGGGAGCTCTTTCTGTTTGTTTGTTTTTGGTACCAGGGATTGAACTCTGGGCCTGGGGCTTGCAAGACAGGCGCCAGAACCACTGAGCTAAATCCCCAGCCCTGGGAGCTCTTTCTGTTGGCTACTCTGTCCCTTCAACATGCCCACATCATTCTGTGTGTGTTGTTTGTGTTTCTGAATCCCCAGCCCCCTGCCCAAGATGCTCCAGGCTCTTACATCATTTCCTACACAGACCTACAACCAGCCACTTCTCTTAGGAACCCTGGTTCCTTTTACTGGAGAGTGGTATTAAAAAACAGTCTTGGGCTGGGGATTTAGCTCAGTGGTGCCGCTGCCTGCCTCACAAGCGCAAGGTCCTGAGTTCGATCCCAGGTACCAAAAAACAAAAACAAAACCCAAAACCGATCTGGTCACTAGGTGATGAGAAAACTCAATTTTTTTTGTACCGGGGATCGAACTCCGGACCTTGCGCTTGCGAGGCAGGTGCCGGAACCACTGAGCTAAATCCCCTATCCGAAACTGAATTTTTAACACAGTGTATCCAGCCATGTTTTGTGAAACTAGAGTTAGAGAGTTCCTGCTCTAAGTTTTTTTCAACCAGCGCTTAATAGAGTTCTGTTCTAAATTTTTTCAAATTTAGTTTTTCACTCCCCAAACCAGTTTTAGCACCGATCGGCAGAGGGCGCAAGAAGAACATTTTCCTTTTCATCACAGGCCTTTCCTAGAGAAGAAAACAAAATACCAAACGCGGAGGCGGGACTAAACTGCACTCGAGAACTGTCAAAGCCGGGCGTGGGCCGGGAGCTATCACGTGAGCATCAGTGGTCAGCTGACCAGTCCAAAGTTCCGCGAAGAGGGACGGACCGAGCCAATGGCTCCTGTTCATTGGTGAAGGAGGATGAGAGGCCGCACCTTAGGGACAGGTTCTTGGGTATGGCGAGTAGGATTGGTTTATGCAGCGTCACGTGGAGGTTGTCCTGCGAAGCGCTCAGGAAGCTACTGCTGTGCCCTCTGCCGGAGCATACGCATGCGTCGAGGTCTCTGGACGCCGATTGGAGAGTGAGAGTCACAGGGCGGCGTACGGCGGCGGCCGGGGGCTTGGCCCGTGTGGCACGCGCCGCACGGCGAGGCCGCTGGTTGGCCGGCTGGAGTCCCGTGGGCCCTGGCCGCAGGCGGCGCGCGCCGGTGCGACGTCAACGCAGCTTGCTGCGTTCGCTGGGCTGCGTACCGCGGCCGGGCCGCGGCGGAGTCCTTCAGGGTTCGATCGGGCAGTTTGCTGGAAACCTTTGCGGCCGACATGGACAACTCTGGGAAGGAGGCGGAGGCGATGGCACTACTGGCCGAGGCGGAGCGCAAAGTGAAGAACTCTCAGTCCTTCTTCTCTGGCCTGTTCGGGTGAGAACCGGCCGAGGGGGTCGGGACCTAGGCTAAGAGGACGCAGGAGCCACGGCCCGAGCGGCGGGCTGGTCACCAGGGTTCGGGCGGCGGGGACAGGAGATTCCAGAGGGAGGTGACGGGGCCTAAGGCAGCAGAGCGCACGCAGGCCGAGGGCAGGCAGAAACAGCGGAAGGGATCTGGGCAGAGGATCCACAGACCGAGGCGACACCATCTTGAGGCCGGGAGGGGGACCCAGGCTGCAGACTGGTCAGGGGGCCGAAGGAGAACTGGGCCGAGGGAAGACGATCTGAGGCCTGAAGGGGACCAGCCCGAGTGGTTGAGAAAGCTGGGAGAAGACACCAGATGCAGAAGCCTTTGGAGTTCTAGGGGACGCAGTTTGAAGGGTTCCAGACCGTGTGTCGGGGCCTGGGGTTGAGGGCAGCTGCCTAAGGGACGTACCTTTGCAAGGCCGTGGGAGGGGTTTGTATGGACTCGGTGACGGAGGTGAGGGCGAAGGAGTCTGACATCAGGCACAGCGGCCTGGGTGATGCTGAGGGTGGTGAGTTCGGGTCTGAGTGTGTGAGGCGAGTGTGGCTCTGGTTAAGAGCGACTAGTGGCAGGGCTTTAGCTCAGTTTTTCCGCCGCCTGCCTCGAAAGTGCAAGTTCGTGAGTTCGATCCCCAGTACCATAAAAAAAAAAAAAAAAGAAAGAAAAAGAGCGACTAGTTCAGGAGACCTCAGCACACGACCTGGGGTTAGGATGTGGATGCCTGGGCAGAGAGGTCAAGACATGATTTGGCTTGGCCAGGGAGGAGGAGAGATGAAAGGCACAGATGAGAGAATGGAGAGAAACATGGGGGGGGGGGTCAACGCCTGCTGTGTGGTCACGTCTGAAAGGGATGACTAGTATGTTTTAGAAGAGGGCCTGAAGGGAGTTGGGAGAAAGAACTAAAATTTGGGAGGTGGCAGACATTTCACGTAAAGTTCATGTCAGTTCATAAAAGTTGACTGTTCTTTGAAGAGTCCTAGTCACTTAGGAGCATCAAAAGCCTAGATTTTAAAATGTGACTCTGCAGCTTGCTCACGACCTTGGCTAAGTTGTGTAATTTCCAAGATAAAGGGGATCATTGCTAAATCTGACTTTAGAGGTTTACTTTGAGTATCAAATATGTGTAAAGTGCTTAGAATTGAGGCTGGCATGTGGTTAAAACTCTGACATTGTTGGGCTGGGGATTTAGCTCAGTGGTTCCTTCACTTGCCTCGCAAGTGCAAGGACCCGAGTTCGATCCCTAGTACCAAAAAAACAAAAACAAAAAACAACAAAAAACTCTAACATTGTCGCTAACCAGAGGGAAAGAAACTTGGAGTATGTAAGGAGCTGATGGACACCAAGGTGGGAGAGGCCTTGAGGGGGTCATAGGAGGGAGAGACCAGGAACCCTTGCGTGTGATGGGGAGGGGGAGAGAGGAGCTGAAAGGGAATGGAAAAGGGGTTCTGGGCCTTGGGGACTTAACAGCTAGAAGACACTTGAGGCTGGGCAGAGGAGGTAGAAGGGATCTGGGGAGGCTTAGGAGAGAAGCATGCTGAAGGAGGGTCCTGAAAGGGTCCGGGGGAGGCTGTGGAGACGGGAGGCCTGGGAAAGGGACTGGAGGTTTGGTAGAGAGGAAGATGTGGAACACATAGTCAGGAAGCAGAGAATGGCAGATGGGGAAGGTTGCCAGAAGGCTGGGGAAAGGCTTTGGGAGGAGGGCCTGGGAATTGGAAGAGACCATTAGAAGCCTGGCAGAGACTGGAAAGAAATGAAGAGAAGTGATTTGTGGTTGCATAATGTTTAGCAAAAGAACTTGAGGAATGTCAATGAATTGCCTGGTATAAAGAAACATCCAGGTCTAATGAGTTGTGCTGATTAGGTGAGGAATGTTTTATTTTAGAGGCTGAAAGTAGAGAATGGATATGTGTATGTATCTTTCTACTTCGCAAGGGGAGAAGTTCAAGTGCAGTGTTTGGGGGTGGGGCCCAGAGCTCAGTTTTCGTCAGTAGTTTTCCTGGTGGCGCTTGGTATCTCTCTAGTCCCTTTGGTCCAGAGATTTGTGTACAGTTGGGCTGTGTTTTCAGGGAGCAGCTGTTAGCCCTTGAGACACTTGCCACCTGGTGGAGAAGGCAAGATTAACACTGCAAAGTGCTAGTAAAGCAAAATTGTCAATGTAAAGAAGGCCTGAGTCTTGTCCTTTGTGTGGCTCCTGTGCTGAAGGGAAGCTGTGTGAACTAGATGTGGGCTCTTGGTGAGGAATAAGCTGGGCCCCAAGGAGCCGCAGGCCGTTGCTAAGGGAGCAGGGGCCTGGGAGGGCACCCTGGGTGGCAGGGCTGGTACAAAGAAAGGTTGGGTGTGACCTGCCCTGAGTGATGGGGAGATGGGAGGATCAAGATCCGAGGACTGAGGGGTGGCTTTGGAGAGGAAAGGTCTCCATCCAAGGGCAGACTAGAAGTTCTGGGGGTGCTGTGGTGGGGAGCAGCACTCCAGGCAGCGGGGACAGCTTGAGCAAGGCCAGAGGTGGGGTAGGCCTCATGAAGGTTTAATGGGAGCTCCTAGGGTGGACAGCTGAGACCTGTGAGCAGGGGCCAGGCTGGAGCAGTGGGGCAGCACTGGTGGCCCGGTCCTAGAGGATTCCCACTTGCCCTTTAGAAAGGACTGCAGCAGCTGTTGTGGGGGAGAGTGGTAGTGGGAGGCCACTGCAGTGATAGCGGAACCAGCAGATGATATCTGCTGAGTGCTCACTCTGCCTCTGAGTCAGGCCTGGGCCGGGCACTTAACCTTCCTTCTCTCCCTTCGTCCTCACGAAATCCCCACGGAGGTGGAGGAAGGGGGCTTAGAGAAGTCAGTTTAGCTGCCAGCACTGCAGTCAGTGGGAGAGACACATTGAGACCTAGCCTGTCAGCTTCCAGAACCCTCTCACAGGCCCACTGTCCCATGAGGCTCCTGCCCATCTCTGAGCACACTGGGGAAGGATGTTGGCAAACTGGTTTGGGAGCTACCACCTCCTAACCTCCAGAAAGTACTGAGACAGTGAGCAGGTGGGTTTCCAAGAGGCTTCAGGAAGGTTCCACTGGGGAGTGGCCAAGGCCAGCCTGGATCCGTGTGTCCAGGAGCTGGGGACATCCAGAGGTCAGTAGGCGAGGACTTCATTCTCTATGGGCAGGAGCTGGCCTCCCCCACCCGGGTTGAACATTTCACACCTGCCCTTCACTCCAGACCTGAGCTGGGGGAGCTGGGATGCAGCTCATTCTCAGTGCTTCTTCCTTCTTTTGGGAAACAGGGCAGCTTCCCAAAGTCAGAGGCCTCGCTCCTGTCCACCTGGCCACTTAGGCTCGCCCGCGCAGGGAGGGCAGCCTTTGCTCTTCCTTCCTCTCAGCTGTCTGATGCTAGCGGAGCTTTGTGGCACCAGCAGCCAGTGCAGGCGGGGCTCCCCACTTAGGAGATCAAAGGTTCCCATACCTTCCCTAGTGGGGGGGGGGAGCAGCACAAACTTGTGCTTTGCGCTGAAAGTACCATGAAAGCGATGGTGGGTAAAGGAGAGGGGAGAGTCGGACGCTTGTTTCACCTGCTTCCTGCTCCAGTCTGCTGAGGGTCCAGAGCCTTCTGTGCTGGGCCCCCTTGCCGCTGTACAGGCTCTGAATGCCAGTTCTGTTCTCTGGGCTCTCGTCCCTGACACCTCCCTTCCACCGTCCCCTACAAAACCCAGAATGAACACTTCTGTCCCCTTGGATTCCTGTGGTAGAGTGGTCCTAAGGAGTGAGGAGAGGATGCACAGAGCTTGGTGAGAGCGGGCTTGGCCCTGGTGGTACTCAGCAGTTGCTAGCGTCGTTATTGGAAGCTGGAGGTGCTGGGAAATAGGAGTGACAAGGTGTTCTGTATACAAACAGCATGTTCCTAAAGATCAGTATGTGTTGGCAAGTCAGTTCCTGTCTGAACTGCCTGAGGGCACCAGGGCACCAGAAGCCAGGGGCGCTGGCTTTGTGAGCAAAGGTGGCTGCTCGGGCTGGGGAGGACGTCCTTGTACAGGGCCTGCTGGGCTCACAGCTGGCCTTCCAGCTTTGTGTCCAGCCCCTTCCACCTGCAGGCACTCCCAGTGTCCTTTCTAGTGTGTGTCATGTGAGTCACCAAGACCCACAACCGAAAAGTCAGCACCACTTACCCGGTCTCAGCGTCAAGTCTTTCCTGAAGGGAGGCAAGGATTCTAGGGGCATCTGAGATCCTGGCTTTCTCCGTGGGTGGGACCTTGCTGCCTGGTTGTACAGGTGACAAATAAGGGACTTTCTGCCTGTCTTTTGAGGAACTGAAACATTCGTTCTGGAGCTGTGATGAAGTGTGATCCTGTTGGGGACCAGAGGGTCAGTGTGTAAGAAACTTGGGAGGAGCTGAGCATGGTAGCACATGCCTGTAATCCCAGCACTCGAGGAGGCTGAGACAGGAGGACTGCAAGTTTGAGCCCAGCCTGGGCAATTTAGCGAGATCCTGTCTCAAATCTAAAAAAGGGGGGTGGGGTGGAGGATATAGCTCAGCGTGAAGGCCCTCAGTTCAGTTCTCAAGTACTGAGAAGGAAGGAAGGAACATCACATAGAGGGTAGAGGCTAGGGGTGTAGGCCACTGATTGAGCACATGCTTAGTACATGTGAACCCCTGGGTTCCCTCCCCAAGCACTACAAAAAAGGAAACACAAGCAAAACATGGGAGGCCAGGGAAAGCAGCAGCAGTGGTCCTTGTTGCTGAGCTGAGAATCTAGAGGAGTGATGGTCCCACGGATAAGTGCCCTTGTCCTCCATCATCCTCAGGGGATTGGTTTCAATACCCTCACCCCAGTGTGGATACCAGAATGTGCCCAGGCTGCAGTCTCTGAAGTGCGTATGTAGTATTTGCGTAAAGCTGTGTACAGTGTCCCGTGGACCTTAAGTCATCTCTAAGTTTCCTGTAATAACTAATGTAAATGCCAGAGAAATACTTATTGCACTGCATTGTTTCGA